TATACCTTGCAACACAAAAGGTTGCAAGTAGCAGGGTATTTACTGCATTAAAAACTAAGTTATTAGAAATCAATATCAAAATGGAAAAAAAATTATGGCATATTTATAATAAAATATTCTATACCAAATAAATGGATCTAAAATTTACATATCAATAGGAATACATTTAAAAAAAATATGATGCCAGATGAAAAGGCAACTTCCAAAAGTGTATGCATTGTATGATACAGGTGATGGAAACAGATAAAACAATACAAAACCTCAAAAAAACATAAAACAATATACATTTTTATGCCACCCTATGTTGTTTATGAATTGAAAGAAGACCTCATGTAAATAACATCAAACAATAACACAATAATCAGGATGGCTGGCACATGAAGACCTTGCATATAATTTTTGTATTTATTTAGGTTGAAGGATAATTAATATATATTTAATAATCTACACTAATAAAAGAGAAAGATGCAAATTGACCATATCTTCATGATGCCCACCAGCCAATCAGGAGTGAGTATGCAAATTAACCCAACAAAGATGACAGATTAATTTGCATACATAGGCACCAGTGCCGAGCAGCTGGATGCTTGTGTCATCATCAAGGTGACAATACAGGTGTTCCTGACCTCTGGGCAGTGTGGGAAGGCAGAAAGGCAGCTCCAGGCAGGAGTGAAGGCCAAAAGGCAGCTTCAGGCCAGAGCAAAGGCTGTGCCAGCAGTCAGGGGAATAAGGCCCATTCTTGCATGAATTCGCATGCATCGGGCATCTAGTCTTTAAATAAAAGTGTATCATTCGTTTTGCTTCAATCTCTTTTTAAAGCAAAAAAAATATATTTTTTTTTTTTGGTTTAATCTGTAGTCATCCTAAAATATAAAAAGCCAGGGGCTGTCATGACTAAAATAACTGGATGGATGATGAACTGGATGGATGGCTGCATGGGGCTACCAGGCCAGCAGGGGGATTAGTGAGGGACAACCAGTGTTCAAACGACTGAACAGTAGGCTGCAAGGGGCGACCAAGCCAGCAGGTGGACAGTAAGGGGCAACCAGACCAACAAGGGGGCAGTTAGGGGTGACCAGATTGGTAGAGGGGGGTAGTTGAGGGTAACCAGGCCAGCAGGGAAGTAAGTTGGGGCAGACCAGGCCAGTAGGCAGGTTATCAGTTAGGAGCCAGCGGTCAGATTGTGATTGTGAGAGGATCCCGGGGATCGGGCCTAAACTGGCAGTCGTACATCCCCCGAAGGGTCCCAGATTGGAGAGGGTGCAGGCTGAGGGGATCCCCCCATGCACGAATTTCATGCACCAGGCCTCTAGTATATACATATTGCACTTATGTAGTCTCCCTATATTATAAAAATTTTCACTTTGCAAATGCTAAAAAAAAAGAAGAAAAAAAAGAAAAAAGAAACCAAAGTAGGTTTTTCTTGGGCCATGGAGCTCTGGGCATTGAGCCCTTGAGACGCAACATAGTGCAGTGGAAAAGCATGGAATTAGAAGTCAAGCTGACCTCATTCAAGCCACAGTTCTCACACCTGTTATCCTGGGTGACCAAAGATCAATATTTAAATCATGTGAGCCTCATGATTAAAGTTTATTCAGCTGCTAAGCAGTAGCAAAATATAAAACCTTTGAAAGAATCAAAGAATATTTAATTATGTACAAAGCAAGTACCAATACTCATTATTGACATTATATATTATATATTTATATGTAATTGCATTATTTCATAACTGCAATTATACTTATTTATCTCAGAAATTATTTCTAATGGAAATAAAGAGATGTTCTTCCTAAGAAATTATTGAATGAAATAAACGCTTTTAAAAAAAGAATTAATAAGACAAGTCAGGGTAAGATATATATAGTATTTATTTATTTTTAAAGTGATATTAAAGTCCCATTTTATCATGCTCACATAGTCTATGAGTCAGAGAATCACACAGACTGGTGGGGATCACTTGTCTCTGTTCCACAATGCCTGAAGTTTCAGCTGGACAGACTCAAAGGCTATGGGTGAAGGTTTAAAAGTTACTTTTTTCCCAAGTGATTTGGCAGAAAATGTCTTTAAAGAGAGTCAGCTGCTCTAGTGTATTTAAGAGGTCAGGTAGTATAAATAGCTAGGAAAACTGATAGCCGCCTATTAAGAGAAATCCCTGAAAAAAATAATATAACCCAAATTAAAAAATGAGTTGATTTTGAAATAGAGTTTTAAGAACTTGGATGTTATATAAAGTGGTACATTTATTTGTGATTAATGGGAATAATATGAATTATCTTAGAAACAACCACTTCACATAGCATGATATATACATTAATATATTACATTCAGAAAAAATAGGGTAAAGGAAACACTTAGGATATATTCCTAGAAACGGAATCACTGGGTCAAATGGCAGTTCCATGTTTAATTTTTATCCCCAAGGAACCCATGGAGCTTCACTTTTCATTCCTCTTGCTTATAAGTCACCTGAGACTTTCATGTGGATCTATAAATTTTCAACCCCAACAGAGATCATATTCAACTTCTTTTGAAATAGCCTGTGTGTAAGAACAACTAAAATGCTCATCTGGTATGTCTATACTTAATTTCTACTTCTGCAGCTAACTAAAACTCTAATTTCCAAACAAATCTGCTCCCAGCTAGATGGCCATTATATTAAACCATCAATAAATGGCGAATCATCCAGGTTCATAAGCCTCAATTCTGTATAAAAAATAAATGGAAAAATACCTTGAATTGTAAGCAATCAATATGCCATCAGAAACCAACAATGTGCTTTAATTAAAAAGGAAAATCCATAGTAATTCACTTTTTCCTTTCCACTCTTCACACAACAAAACAAGAACCAGTATAGAAAAGCAACTAAAATGAAGTCACCTTTTGCCCTTACTGTGTCTAAGTACAGCCTTTACCAATGGAATAATTAGCTTCAGATTTTTCATTTTCCTCCCCTTTGTCATACAGAAATTACTTCCTCTCTTCCTATGGAAATAATGCCTTGAATTGCCTCTTCAGTTAACCCTAGGTTTCCAAGGATCTCAGTAATCTTGTTATTTCATGAAAATAGTAAGACTGCATGGTTACATGGCCATTGTCCCTACTGGATTAGGACCTTGGGTTGGTCTAGAAAACAGCCTAATTTCATTAATTGCAATGAACTTGCATAACCTCTAAAACTGAAGTCAAACATTGGGTGTGACTGAGTGTATCATGAGCGCAGACTGTACCCAGCACCTGCTCTTGCAAGAAGGAATAACAGGAGGGAGGATTCACTGGACACGAATGTACCAATACCATTGCAAATTCCAACATTCACGCTACTTCTGACCATGATCAGACTTCAAAAGAAAGCACACCCACTACTTTGATCTATGAACCAATGCTGAAGCTACAACACGAGCAGTACTCCACTTTGGCCAACAAAAATCTTATGGTGGCATTACTCAAAGCACACACACAGGCTCAGGACTGAACATAAATGAAACAGAATAGCAACACATCAAAATGTTCAGACAAAGGAAAACTACATGTTCCTTCCAAACATGTGTTCATGATGTGGCCAACACAGAAAGGTCTAGGCAAACACTGTTGGGGTTGAAAATATTTATAGATCCACATGAAAGTCTCAGTGTGGCTCATAAGCAAGAGGAATGTAAAGTGAAGCTCCATGGGTAGCTTGGGGATAAAAAATTAAACATGGAACTGCCATTTGACCCAGTGATTCCACTTCTAGGAATACATCCTAGGAAGCCTGAAACACCAATCAGAAAGGAAATATGCACCCTTATGTTCATAGCAACGTGATTTATAATAGCTAAGATATGGAAACAGCCCAAGTACTCATCAGTAGATGAGTGGATAAAAAAGCTATGGGACATTTACACCATGGAATACAATACAGCTATAAAAAAGAAGGATCTCTTACCCTTTGAGATAACATGGAGGGATCTGGAGAGTATTATGATAAGTGAAATAAGCCAGTCAGAGAAAGACAAATATCATATGATCTCACTTACATGTGGAATCTAATGAACAAAATAAACTGATGAACAAAACAGTCCAGAGACATGGAAACATGAAATAGATTGAAGGTTCTTGAAAGAGTGGGGGCTTTGGGGAGACAGGAAGACTCTCTTTAAAGAGAGTCAGCTGCTCTAGTGTATTTAAGAGGTCAAGTAGTATAAATAGTTAGGAAAACTGATAGCCGCCTATTAAGAGAAATCCCTGAGAAAAAAAATATAACCCAAATTAAAAAATGAGTTGATTTTGATATAGAGTTTTAAGAACTTGGATGTTATATAAAGTGGTACATTTATTTGTGATTCATGGGAATAATATGAATTATCTTAGACACAACCACTTCAAATAGCATGATATATACATTAATACATGATATTATATTAATAGCATGATATTATACATTAATAGCATGATATTACATTCAGAAAAAATAGGGTAAAGGAAACACTTAAGATATATTCCTAGAAACGGAATCACTGGGTCAAATGGCAATTCCATGTTTAATTTTTTATCCCCAAGGTACCCATGGAGCCTTTGATTTGATTAATATCAAAGAACTTACATGCATATATGCATAACCCATGGACACAGAAAATAGTTTGGTAAAGGCCCGGGATGGCGTGGAAGTGGGAAAGAGAGGTTCAATGTGGGGAAAAGAGGACATCTGCAATACTTTCAATAATATAGATAAACTAATAAATAATCTCCTCTGGCATTAGGAGCTAGACAAGCTCTCAATGTACAAAACTGAATGCGAGATCCCAGATAAAGGGCATTCAGATTTGTTGCATATCTACCATGTTTTAGGCACAATGTTGTTGTTGTTGTTAGTGAATAAAATGCCAAATCACAGGGTGACAAGTTGTGAGACAGCATGAATACCACTGACAAGAGAAGATTTGCCATTGGTGAAAATCCCACCCAATCCTCTCCCAGGACCACAGTGGCACACTGGTAAAGAACAGAGAGAGAACTCTTACTGTAGTGCATGGGAGTGGCTGAGATCTTTCATATCGGAGTCCTCGAAACGCGGAGTTATCATTCCCAAACCGCTGTCGCTCAGCATGCGTCTCCGTAGCGAAGGATTCCACCAGTCTGACATCCTGGGAGGGAGAAGGGCACCATACAGGTAAGCAAAATCAGCCACAGGACTTACCTACACCTTCTCAAGATGATTTTTGTCTCTAACTGTGAAAAGGGGAATCCACCTGTATTGGGCATTTACTAGTTAGTTCATGTTTACTGTTTCATTTAATTTTCTCAACCATTGTGAACCACTTGTATGATTCTGACCTCCTTATAGATGAGAAAACTGAATCTCAAGATAAGTCATTTAAAATCCTACCTAATAAAAAGATAATATGCAAATTAACCATCATTGTCACACCCACCAGCCAATTAGAGCAAGTATGCAAATAAACCCAACCAAGATGGCTATAGCCACAGAGAGTAGGAGGGAGGCTTAGATTTCCCAGGCAACAGAAGAAGCCAAGCTTTCCACCTGCCCTAGCCAGCCTAAGCCTCCACTCAAAGCTACAAAGTTATAGAAGGTAAACAAATCCAAATAAAAATGGTGTTAGCCAGGAAGGGAGCAGGAGGCTTGGTTCTGCTCCAGGCTATAAAGTTTCAATTGTAGAGGGTAAATAAACTCCAGATACCAGAGCCTCTGCTTGGGTCGCCAGGGGGCATGGCTGGCTTGCAAACCACCACAGGCCTCTCACTCAGGCCACCCCACGCTCCAAGGGAACACCCACCCTGATTTGGGACACCCTTCAGGGCAAAGGAGAGCTTTGGTATCACTAACTCTGGCTTCCTAAGCACAGCTATATATCTGTTCCATCCTACAACGTCTGTCTTCTCTTGATGCTCAGAGACTCAGTCCACATCACAGACATGAGCTGGCCCTGGCAGAGTTGGAGATACTTAGAAATAGCAGCAAGTGAAGAAGGGTAAGCAGGCATAAGAGTAACTCAGACGAGTATCTCTGTTTGTACTATATAGGTATGTGTGTATACTTTGTTATCTGAGTGCATGTGTGTGTGTGTGTGTGTGTGTGTGTGTGTGTGTGTGTGTCCGCGCGCAAGTGTGCTTTCCAAGGAAATCCTTATTTTAACCAGTAAACCACTTAAGTTTACTAGACTTCACAAAGGGCAAAGATTTTTGTCTGTTTGAATTTTGGCATCCTTGTTCCTAAGTGCTTACACTAGAATATGGCACATAAAATAGCTCTAAATAAATATTTTCTAATTGTTGAAATAACAATTCAGTATATATCAGTATATGTCAGTATCATTTTGGTGGTTCAATGTCGTGGTTAAATTTATGGGTTCTGACATCAGAAAACCTGTGACTACTTCTCAATTTTTCCACTTATTTTCTGTGCAATACTTGGAAAGTTTCAAAACCCTGTAGGCATCAATTTTCTTACTATGGACTTAGGACAATAATAGTAGCAAATTATAGGGTCATTGTGAAATGATGATGATTTGAATAAAATAATGTTGATTAAGTATCTATCAAGTGCAGGAACTATTGTAAATGTTTCACATGTATCAATTACTTTAATCTTCAAACAATTCTATGAGTAGGTGTTATTTTCATTTTACAGATGAGGAAACAAGTACAGATGACTTAGGATGATTAAGTCATTATGAAGTAGTGACAGGAATATAAGAAACACATTTAGCACAGTACGTGGATCATAATAAGTGCTTGGCAAGTGGCAGTTATTGTTATACAATCTCAATGCCTCAGGATGCTTGGATATAGCAAAGAAGAGGGAGAATGTGGAAGAGGAGAAAAATAATTGTCAAATCACCTGTTTCAATTTTTATTTGGCTAATACAGGCCTTATAGATACAGATGCATAAATGCAAATGCTAGTTTGGTAGGAAGTGTGGATGTGGTGTGTAAAGAAGGCTCAGAAAAACCTGGGTGGGAGTGTCCTTCTACCCAACCATTCATGAGTCAGACTTATAGTGAACCCAGCTATACAACACTCAGATGAAATACAACAAGAAAACTGGTAGAGGAGCCCCAACTTATCTGTGGTCTCACTTTCTGTGGTTTTAGTTACCAGAGATAAATAATTCTTAGGTTTTAAATGTCATGCCATTCTGAGTAGTCTGATGAAATCTCATGCCATCCTACTCTGACCCAACTGGGATGGAAACCACCCCTCTGTCCAGGATCTCCACACTGCACACTACCTGCCCATTAGTCACTTACTGGCTGTCCATCTAAGTTATAAAATCGTGGGGGAAGGAGATGGAAGAAGGAGGGAGGAATTGGAGACTATTCATATAACGTTTATCATAGTATATTATTATAATTTTTCTATTTTATTACTAGGCATTATTGCTAATCTCTTATTGTGCCTAAGTTATAAATCAAACTTTATCATAGGTATGTATAGAAAAATCCTAGTATATAGGGTTTGATACTACCCACAGTTTCAGACACCCATTGGAGGAGTGAGATTCTTGAATCATATTCCCATGGGTAAGAAGGGAATTATTGTATTTTAAAATAGTTTGACATCATTAGAAATGTCAATTCCAAAGCCAAACAAGACACCATTGGCACCCTGTGGCCAGTCTCGCCATCACAATGTCAACGGAGCCGCCTACTCACCCTGAAGCTTGCTCCACCACCAGGTCAGGCATTCCTGGCGGTGTCCCTGCCTGCTGTGACAATGCCATGTCTGGGTCCAGAATAAAAACCTCATCTTGAGAAATCTCCATCACAAAGTGCAAATGTTCCTAAGGAAGAAAAAGAAGTCTGTCAGCTGACTAACAGGATGCTTGAATCCATCATCTGAAGGGTAACCAAAAGAAAGCTTCTTGGACTTGAGGAATTATGAAGTTCTGTGACTAATCAAATGACCACAGTCAATGTTCAGAGGCCTGACCCGTGGACGTCCCTCACCAAAACAACATCCTAACAAGAGGCTGGGGAGGGAGAGAGGTGAATCCCTCTTGGTTTGGGTTCCTAGTTGACCAGGATCTTGTTAGGTATAACCAGGGATGCCCAAATACTATATAAAAAAGTGATGCCTACGTTAAACTTGGTCCAGCAGGAGTAGATTTCCTCCCTCCAGGATCTGGTCAAGACTAAATGGCATTGCTAATTAGGTGCTATCACAGGATTCCTCATGGTCCTTTCTTTTTGCAGGAGAATTTGGACAGTGGGAACATGGCATCATTAGGCATAAACATTTTATTTTCTTATTATGGAACTCTGAGAGGTGTGGGGTTGAAACTAAGTAGCCTAGATATATACGTGAGGTCTTAAATTTGAGGTCTCAAATTTTCAAAGGCATCTATTTTGACTAGGAAGCAGTATTTATAAGAAGCAATATAAGTAATGATCTGAAGAAGTGCAGGCTGGGGATGATACTTACAAGTCTAGCTATTTTCTGTACTCATTTAAAAGGTCAAGCCATATCATCTCCAGTCCACAGATCACAAAACGCAAGACAAATAAGCAGCTTAGGCAAAGAGTGTAATTCCAAAATGTGTGTTTCCGTGTTTTTGTTAGAGGAATTTATTAGATTGGATACCAATAAAGCATATTTACTAGGGACTTTTTCACTTTCACAAGCAGGCTCAAGAAAACGTACCTGAGATCTGTCTATTCGATAAAAGCGATCAGCAGAAGTTGCTAGAAAAAGAAAAAAAAAAGAAAAAAGTATAAGGCATTCAGAGTGTCCTGTGATCTGGCACTAAATTTCTAACCTTCTGTTCTACCACATTAATCATAAACCTTCCAGTTTAGGGACTACTGACTGGTCCCTAAGTATATGAAGAAAAACGCAGGACTTCCTCGCCTCTGCTGTTAGAAGGCCCTGCCTTCCCCGTCTAAATCTTATTGCCTTTTAAAGAGCAAGTGAGATGTTGCCTCTTTTGTGAGTCCTTCCTCAGTCTCCTTGTCCCTACCACAGACAGAATTCATTGCTTCCACTTCTATGCACACTAACATTTGTTTACACTTTTTATAGGAACTACCTTCAGATAATGATGAGACTAAAGTATCTGCCTCTTTAAAGGTCTGTGTTTCATTTATTATTTTATGTCTCTAGATGTTGGGGCCTGAAACAGAGCTGGGACTCCATGTGTGTTTATTAAGTAAATAAAGCTAGAAAAAATACAAACAAACAAACAAAAAAACTGCGTTGCCAGACCTCCCAAGAAAGTGGTTCTCATTTTGAAAAAGATCTTGAAGAAGCAGAGCCAGGGACCACATCTAGTATTAAAGGTATCGTTTCACCTTAAAACTGAGTCCCTAAGCAATGTCTGAAGAAAGTCAAAACAGCAATAACAATAATACTAATACATATATATGTATATAAATTATTGCATACATAAATTAAATTATAGATATAATTTAAGCATTTCTAAAAGGGACTGGCTTCAGCTGTGGCTTGAGGAAAAAAGTATTACAAACTTGAGTTTTCAGAAATTATTCTGATTATTCTGTTTTTTGTTTGTTGGTTTGTTTGTTTTTACCACATTTGTTTTATTTTTTTAATCTCTTTATTGATTAAGGTAGTACCTATGTGTCCTTATCCCTCCATTATTCTTAACATTTAAGAATTATGTTTCTCCTTCCTTAAATTTATCAGAGTCCAAATATTAAGATTTTCTGCATATAGTACTAGAGGGGAAAACTCAAAATGCAAACAATCATTTAAAAACCATAAATATTTAAGGAGAAGCTTTCCTCCAAAGAAAGTGAGCTCAGAAAGCAAACTGGCCCTGCCCTGCCCTCTAAAAGCAGCAGGAGAGGAGAATCGCTGAGAAGGACTTATTCTACTCTGTTCTGTTTAACCAATTGTGGATAATGCTCTTAATCCCCCTATTAGCTTCACTCTATAAATAGCTTTATTAGAAACAATGTTATTTAAATATTAATTGTAATTTAAAGACTGCGTATAGAACAGACTAGATGTAGAAAAATTCACATACATTTCCATAATTTTATCAAATATAAGCCGTTTTTCAGGGGAAAAATGATTGTTCTTCTTCTCATCACCAGGAATAAAGAGCTGGAGGAAGAGCAGTGTGATTTACCTTCAGAGACAGTTGACAAGCCATCAATGGGAAGCTACATCATGATTTATGTGGCTTAGGTTTCAGATAGACACAAGTGCTTGTCTTCATGATACTGATCAGACATCACACATCCTGTCATACTCTTATCCACAGTTATATCCTCTCGGATGCATTCACAGATAAACAAAGAGGGATCTTTGATGTAAACTAGAGAGACACTGGGTGGTAGATACACTGGGAAGCATATAAACAGGAATGGACTTCAATATAGGTAATTGAATAGGAGAATAGAATTCAGAAGCATCGAAGGATCGAGAGATGCTTGCAATGGAAAATGGACTCATTGACCAATCAGAAATAACTGACCTATTATGCATTCAATGTCATGCTCAGCAGGGCAGATATGAACACAACTGAAATTTTCTATGCTTTGATAAAATCTTATGCATCACACTGAAGTGATGACTTAGTGAAAATGATATGAAAGCTGCAAAATAGGCAAGACACATACATGCTGGCACCTATCCCATGGTTACTGAACCTATCTACTGGCCTCAATGTAAGAGAGGCATTCAACACTTTTCAGGAAGCAGGGGTGAGGCAGGGGAGGGGTGAGAAGAATGAAGGAAAATGCTAGCTTGAGCAATCTGATGCTGTGAAGTTCAGCCAGAGTTAACCAACTTGCTTTGAGGAAAATGACTTCAGAAAGGTGTTATGACAGCAGTAAGTCCACATCCTTGAGGAACCACATGAAGGGTTTCTGAGTAATCTTTTGGAAAACTGGAGTCCAATTGATCAATGGATGCCTTGCCCTGCAGCTTCCCAGACCCACCCCTCCATGAAAGACAGGAACACTCACCATCTAGAAAGCACCACCGTGGGGAGAGTCTCTGAGCTGAGAGTGCCCTGGGGAAGGAGGTTTCTTGGTCCTGGAAAGAGACACACACATCCTATGGCTCCATTTGAATGACCTGAGGGGCTTTCCTCACTCTGTAACCTGCCACATCACCTTTGTCTAAGAGCAGAGCGAGCATCCTTTCCTACACAAAGTGCTAGTGTGAGACCAAATCATTCATATAGATAGATTTAGATAGATATAGATATATGAACTTATATATATTAGAAACAAAGGCTCTGCTTTGAAATAAATCATTTAACATAGAACTTTAAAAAAAATTCCCACATAAAATTTCTAAGAGGTTTTCAATTATTCCATTCAGCATTCACAAATGATAGAGCGTGGGGCATTTACTTCCTTTAAGGAATTTCTTTCCTTCTGTGATGCTGAGAAACTGGCTGTCATTTATATCTGTGTTCTCTACATAGGTATAAAATTTCCCCTACAAAGAAAATCTCTGGAGGTAGAACTCATCATTCGGTCTTTTACAAGGTGAGTCTGTATGCTAAAGGCATAGAACAAGACGTAAATTACCAGAACAAAAGGGATACATTTTATTATTAAAAAGCTGGAGTTATTAATATGAATGGATTCTGTAAATTGAATAATTGACAGAAGAAATTTGGTCTCACTGAGGACTGGTACCAAAATTTATATGAATATGAGTAGAACTGATATGGCTATGGATACAGAATTACATACATATTCTTCTTTTTTGGACTGGCTTTATCACCTTGCTGATTAAGCTAAATAAAATCTTGACATGTGCTCAATAACTGCTTATATGAGAATTATGTTCACTATTTTGAGAATTATATTTTGACAAATATAAAATCTGAGCTATTTTCTTTTTCAGAAATATTAAGGTTCCCAATGTTACCAACATGTCTCTGTTTGGTGAGAAATATAATCATAAATCAAGAAATTTGTAAGGTATTTGAAATATATAGAGGAAACTATGAAAGTGAATAAATAAACATCTTAAACAAATATGGCTATCTTCTCTAGGAATAAAATAAATTGAACACCAAGGGTAATGTCTGAATTTTAATGTGAAATGTGCTACAAAGACTACTATGAAAAAAGTATCCTAATCCCTGAGGTTAAAATCCACTCTGAAAGAATACATAAATACTTGACTTATCATTTTAAAAACCTAAAGATTAATAATGGTACTGCTAGAATATTCAAATTAGAAAATGTTGGATATTATTTAGTCTAATGTAATAAAATGGAGATGAATATATTGCCTCAACCACATATGATAACTTGCTTCCCCACAGGTGGATAAAGTAATACTGATATCATTATATACCTCTTTAGGTGAGAGCATCCGTGTCTGGAGAATTTCTTTGTTTATTTTGCTTATTTTCTGGTCATTTAGTCTGACCTTAATTCATGAAGCCTTTGAAATCAGTCAACTTCCTTAAAGGAATTTGGTTTAAAGAGAATTTCATACATGTGCTCTGTGAAAACACACTGGTTGCCACAGAGCTCTTCAAATAGGTTCCAATAGACCCTTAAATAGGTTCAACAATCCTTGAACTCCCTCATGCTTTTATGCTAAATTCGGTGTGTGTACATCAAGTATATGCATTTTCCTGAATAGAGGAACCACTGTTTCCTACAGATTACCAAACCCTCCAAAGGTTAAAAAGTATTAATTTAAATAATCAAATATTTAGGTCAGAGACAATTTGATAAAATAAGATTTTAATAAGTAAAAAGCCTTAATATCCAGACACAAGAATAGGAATTATTACAAAGTTACTGGTGATTATAGCATCAAATAATGGAGGCCCTCTGAGCTTTGCAGCTATTCTCTTGGAAGTGTGCTAAATTCAGGCTAATTCCTAAACAGAAGAGTGCAATGAACTTATCGCTTATTCCTATCCATGGTCCTTCCCAAGCATTTTTCAGCCCTTCAAGTAAGGCACTGTAAGTTCTTTTGATGTTTATTTTTTTTAAAAATAGACAAGAGGAAGACCAATTTACATGGAGAATTGGATTACCTTAATAATTGAAGTTAAAAAAAATATTTCACTAATTTAAGGCACAGGAATTTCATGGAAAAAATTATTGAAAAATATTGGACACTTTCCCCATCACCTGAAGATTAAATTACAATCTTAGAAAATGGCTACAGAAGCACAAGTACAGCCTTAACTTATCTGAAACGGATTCCCTAAACTAGGTTTGCATCCTCTCCTGCCTTTTTTCAACCTTGTTAAAAACAAACAAAAAAACTCTTAATGGGATAATGAGATCCTATGTTGAAAGTCATTTGAATTCCAAAGGAAAAATGTATTATCCACCCAAAATAGGGATTATTCATAATGCAGTGCAATCAAATTAGTTATTTTAAAAACTTAAGTGTTATAAAAAGATACAGAAATACAGTGAAACTTCAACAAAATTTTCTTTTCTTTTTTCTCAACAAAAACTTCCATTAGAACTAGTGTAGCCACACAAATATATGCAGATGGAAGGATCTCACCTGCATTAGAACCCTAACGTTGAAGAATTTCTTGAAATAGGTGTTAAAATGATGTTTTGATGTAGCAGATTGACAAAATAGAAAACATACTCACACAATATACCAACACACTCTAAGACACAAAAAAAGTCTGGCTACTAAGCACACCCAGATGCTCGGACTTTGTCTAACATATCTGAGGGAGAAGAGAAGAAAAATCTGATGGGTGCTGAGATTGTATTTCATCTGAGTTGAAAAACTGAGTAAAAAGTTACTTTTAGTAAGAAAATTCTACTTTGGAAAACTTAAAATTTTGTAGGATGAAATCAGAAGACTAAGAATTGAAATGACAAAATGTTCTTGTTATTGAAGTAGTATTTAAATATCTTAGGAAAGACGGATGGATAAGTGGGAAGAAAAAACAAACAAACATGTAACAAACTGTAGATGATCTAGCCTCAGTTAAGTAGCAAACCCAGAGGCATGGAACTCTGATGGCCAAGAGCACTAACTGTGAGCATCTGGCATCCCTGGCTCTATCACCTACTAACTAAGATTTTAGGCAAGTTTTTTTCCTATTCTGTGCCTTGGATGCTTCATTTGTGAAATGGCTACCGTAGTATCTACTGTAAAGAGTTCTTTTGAGGCGTATATGAAATGGCATGCGAAATGCTTACCTCATTACCTGGAGACTATTGTGCTAAGTGAATAAGCCAGTCAAAGAAGGACAAACACCATATAATTTCACTTATATGTGGAATCTAATAAACAAAATAACAAACAAAATAGAAACAGACTCATAGATACAAAGAATAGACTGACAGCTGTCAGAGGGGAGGGAGGTTGTGTGAAATAAGTAAAGCAATTAAGCAAAGAAGAAAAAAAATCATAGACACAACAGTATGGTGATCACCAGATAGAAAGGGAGTGGAAGGAGGTAGAGGATGGTAAAAGGGGGAATAAATGGTAATGGAAAGGGACTTGACCTGAGATGGTGAACACACAATACCATACACACATGATGTATTGTAGAATTGTACACCTGAAACCTATATAATTTAATTAACCAATACCACCCCCTATAAATTCAATTAAAAAATAAATTCTTAACTTATTAGCTAGTACATGTCAACATGCAGATACTGGGGCAGCTGGGATGACATTATTTTACCTAAAACAATATTGACCCTTACACACAAGAGGAGTTCATCAGTCATATTTCAGACCAGATCTTTCAGATGGTGCTTTATCAACACTACACTACTTTATCCATAAATGCATTTGTTACCAGTTTTTGGTTTCAAAGAAAAGAAACAGGACAGATTCATGTAAATGGGCACAGAAAAGAGTGACATCAAATAAAGGCTGAAATCATGCCGCTATTGATTTGGTGTTTGTAGGACTTGTCTTCACCGGAAATTCAATGCCTCTTTTCACAGTATTAACAACTACACAATTGTCTTATATACAGGGTATTGTCTTCAAGGTTGAATATCTTGCATCACCAGCAGCAATAATTTTCAGAACAGTTTATTTTACTGGCCTTGCCTCAT